AGCTCCTTTTCATGCGCAGCCCATAGATCTTGGTTTTCTTTTGCAAGAAGAATAGCACTATTCATTACCATTTCACACCCCTTTATAAGCTGGTCTAATGCGGCCTTAGTAGGGGTAGAAGGGCTGCATGTATGCTCCCTAAGTAGCTTCTTAAGTATAGTTTCCTGCTTTTTTAACTGCTTCAGGTTGTGCGGTGTTTTAGGGATGGAATTGGTTGATTAACTCCCAGGTGGTGTAGGGGTTTTAAGCTGGATATTAAGCTAACTGAGCACCCGATTTAGATTGAATGGTATTAATCCAGTTGCTGAGAAGCCACTTTTAATATTATCTATAGAAAAGATTGCTGTACGCGCCTGTGGATAGGCTTCAAGGAAGTTAAATTTGTCAATATAGTTGAAACCAAGCCGCATCTTATCCTCCACTAAGCGGCCGTACGCACGCTTTAGAGGAGAAAAACAACCAACATCCAGAGGCTATAGGAGATGTGATGAATATACAGGCATGCAGATTAGTATAATATTATTTTCACTGTAAACTAGATCAAACTGAGGTGTTAAATGACTCCCATGGCCATCAAGGATCAACAATCGATATCTACCAGTCGTACGGCTAGTAGTTGCTGGAATAAAGACTTTTTGAAGCCATCATAGTCCAATTTGATCTGTTGTCCATCCATTTTGACTGACTTCAATCCTCCAGTCAGCTGGTAAGGCTGTATCTTGACACCAGCCTTCAATATAGATCTTTCCTTTAAAGATAATGCATGGTGGAAGCACCCATCCAGTAGAGTTGATACACTCTATAGATATAACCCATTCGCGGTTCCCTGGCTGGACAAGGAATAGCCGACCAAGCATCTCAGCTCTAGTAACTACCTTAGCAGTAGCTACTAAGCCCATTACAAAGCCAGTTTCATCAAAGTTATAGATATCTTCAAGTACAATCCCATGCTGCATGATAGTGATCTGGACACAATTAAACCATTCTTAAATAATCTTTAGGTCTTCACATTTAGCACGCTGGTGATTATAGCGCCTAGAGAATCAGGTTTTGATCTCATCACGCCAATTAATGAAGTTATATACCCATTTCTCACCAACTGTCTGGGCAGTGGTTGAACCACACTTTAAAAGAAGTATATTGGCCATTTCTCATATATGGGAGGGTCGGGGAGCAGATCCACGTTGATCCATAGATAAGATCCATTTGATAAGTGATTCCTCTTCATTTTGGGTCATCTTATACCCATTTGCGCGTGCCTCAGCTCGAAAGATATGTCCATCTAGGCATCATCAAAGGGTTGTACAGGGTATATTATAAACACGTGCTGCTTCTGAGATATTACAAATTTCATTCTTCTTCAGAGCAGATATTGCAAGTACAATTCTTCCCTCTTGCTCAATTAAATCTTTTGAATTTATATGAGCTTTTCATGGCATGGTAATGTGTTGAATTACTTCATAACAATAGAATCACAGTCAAAACGCGTTGGGGTGGCCGCTCGGTTACAATGGCCACTCGCTTACCGATTACGTTAGTTAACTAACTAGTCGATAAAAAAATTCACTCTTTTTAGTTTAGCCTCTATGCCTCTTCCTTCAGGCCTTAATTCTCTGTTTCTCTGCTATCTTTCTAAGAGACATCTATCTAGGATCTCCTGTTTAGAGCTGCCCTTATTTGTATATATATACTAAGGAGTATAAATTTTGCTACGGAGTATAGCGCTGCTATTATAGGGCTGTCTACCGCCCTCATGACCCTCGCCTATATACAATCTCCCCGTAGCCGTAGCCATTGCCAGTTACTTCACCCCATTTGTTATTACCTTGAATCAGTATAAGGCTATATGGGAGTCAGCGGCAAGAGGTTACTATAGTAGCATTTCGATCCCTGCGCTGGGAGTGAGCGGAGCGAACCTAAAGTTGATTCGGCGTAACCAACTTGTCATTCATAATACAAAAACCTGCAATTCTAGCACAATAGGTAACCAGCTTAAACTATATTCTATAAGCAAACCCCTTTGGAGGCTGTCCTGCCCAAATTTAGTGACTGTGATTCCATTGTCAGACCAGACACTTGGAAGCCTTGGGAAGTCTTGGATGGACAAAGAGGAAGAATGGGCGGCTATATGAGCAGCAAATGGCTCATTACGATTATGACATTGGAACTTGTTTAGCTAATGCGCCAAAAGAGGGACGCGATGGTACAGGTACCTATGTTGTTGTTCATAACTGGACCTCAATGCTTCGTTCGTCGATCCTCTTCCTTTTTCAATCTCTTCCGACTCTCATAAGCGATCATATCACTCAAGTCTTCTTGGAAATCCCAGTTGGGATTGGTCTCTTGGTGCTTATGTGACTCGTAAAGACTTCGTAGGTTTTCTTTACTCATCCCATCGCTCACTTGCAATGCGTCTGGATCAACGGACACGTCGACATCACCAGGCTTCTTCCGTTTTCGATTTGGGTCCTCAGCACCGAGCACCGGCAAGCCCTCCGGAGGCGCCTTGAGATCGTACACTCTGTCGGCCCCAAAGAAACCCTGTACATGGGCTTGTTTCTCTGGGATGACCTGAAAAGCACTTCGACGTCCCACATGTTCCTCCGTCTGGGTACCTCGATAAGTCTTGCGCACGTCAAACTCGCCTGCAACGTTCTCCGCTCCAATATATTCAGATGGAACGCTTGAGACTATACCGCCAGGTGTCTCTAATCCGCTGGGAGTCTGCAAGCCTGTTTCAGTATCCACATCGTCCTCAGGTTCATCCTCGTTCTCCTCGCTCTCATCTTCCGAAGGTTCAGATTCTTGCAACTCGCCCCATAGATCTCTTTCAACAGGCTCTCCTTGTTGAACAGTTTGCTGTGGTTGTAGCACACCAAATATGTCGCCACCGTAAAGTGGCCGGTTATGTTCATCCACAGGCGGTTTGCCATACCCGCCAGGATGATAGCCCCACATGGCACCTGGAGGTGGAGGAGCATTGAGACCTGGAATTTTCAGAGCCGGATACGACGGCGGTGGTCCATATCGTTGTTGGTTTATCAACCAGGGCGGAGGTGCACCGGGCGGCATATTGAGAGCTTCCTTCAGCTCAGCGCTGAGCTCACCAGGGCGTAAGTGTCTAAGGTTGGTCTCATATTCTTTGCCCTCATAGTAAACCTCACCGTAACGAGTCAATTCCGGTTTCGTCTGGAAGCGGAAAAAAGCCTCATAAAGTTTCTGATAATCTATATCCAGTCTCCCCATTTTGGGTTGGACCCTTTCGCGTTGCTTTTGTTTCAGGGTTGCTTGTTCTTGTTTCTCCAAAGCAGCATCTCGCATTTCCGAGATACCCGTCTCCTGTATGAATCTAGGCAGGGCAAAAGGCGGTTTTTCAACCCCTCGCTTTGAAGACAGATACTCTCTTTTCAAAGACCAGTGAACAGGCACAGGGACAACATTTCTGTGAGCCTTGATATGGACGAGAAGCTTTGGGTCAGGGGCTGAGGTGTCTGTCCACTCGACGATTTCCGGTTTTCGAACCATTGCCTTGAGTTCTGCGACAGAAAGCTTCGTCAATTCTTTTCTCTTTTTTTTTGATAATTTCGGTCCCTTGTCATCTTCATCCGGAATTTCATCGTCTTCATCAAAATAGACCTCCGGTTTCTCAGGCTGTACCAATGGTCTTACTTCGTCCTCATTCTCGTCAAACTTTCTGGCAATATCCTTGTACATCTGCCATAGCGAATCGCCGGCGTCTGGGTCCACCTCCCAAGGAGAGCTATTGGGAGCATCGGGATGGCCAACTAAACGCGGGCTCCGCGTTTCGGGTCCTTGATCGGAAGCATCAGTATATTTCTCAACCGCCTATTTATGTCAGATCTCATTTCGCTGCATCGTATCGATGGTGACTTTCGACTTACCTTCGTCTTTAAGGCCTTTTTCCTGGCCCTTCTCAGCTGATTCTTGCTCTGTTTCATGATCCGGTTCAACCAGGGCAGGAGAGACGTATGAAAAATAAGAACAGCGTCAGTATGACTTTGAAGTGTGTTGAATACAAACGTAATCACCGAACCGGCTTGTAAGTTGTGCAAGAGCCCTTGATGGTGGTTAAATTCAAGGGTGCCAAGAGTTCAGTTTGCCATCCTATCTATCCGCTCCCGCTCTGACTAACGCAGGCTGCTAGGCTGAAAGAGACAAGGTCCGATGATACCCAGCGTCGCAAACTTGCAAGTTGCAGTACTAGTAGTGCTTCGACTCCAGCTGAACCCTACAGATATACACTCTCCTAAGTGCCAGGAGCAGGTTGATTATTTGTTCAAACTTGTACTTATGGTAACTTTCATTTAGTGGTTATATATTGACGCAAATGCGCTGTTAAGCTTGTGAATACATGACAAGAAACTGCGTCAACACATCGTAGTGATGTTCACTTTATACTTTAAGCAGTCAAATCAATCGGGCCACCATTTCTGTAACCAATGTTCTTTCACCTTCCTTCCGGGTTCTCAGCTGGATCTGCAACAGACCCTGTCCTTACGCGGAGTTCTTCCATTTATCTATATGTCTAACCCGCTTCGCCCAGTTTGAGTCCTACCCGGGCCGTGATACTTCGACACTGGATAAAGAGCCTTGGCCATATCTCGAGCCATTACATGTTCGAACAACCGCATCAGAATATAGCCTATGTGCAAAATGAGGAATTGATCATGCCCAGTTTTGAATATAGATTTCCGAAATATACAATACAATGAGTATACGGTACAACCAGCATGTGGACCGAAGGGAAAAGGCGCTGTTGAATGTGAAGTGGATCATGTACGCCATTAGTCCAATCTCGAACGCCTTCTTCAGAACATATGGCTCACGAGCCGCTGACTCGGGGAGGCAACACTGATCAGGCAAGCTATGTGAGATGAGTCATATTCGAGCGGGAAGATGTCTCGAATATCTTGGAAGGGATTTGAGGTAACAATGAAGGTGAAATATACACAAGTCTGAACGGCAGTATCTTGCTTTGCTTAAGGTGTGTCAACGGATCGCAAACTGAGCTGTGTCTGCTGTATGCCGACCACATAGGACATGGTGACTCCAGTATGGTCCTGCCTATTTCTTCTTCTTCGCCGATCGTGATTCTGTATACTGGTCAGCAGGAGTCTTTGAACAAGTATAAGTGTCATACCAGCTGCAGTTCGCTTTTTCTTCGGCCTTCCCTTTCCCCTCAGTTTTGCACTAGGCGTAGTCAGCGATCAAGGTTTTATCCTGAGTGTGTGTTGTGACCTACATTTGAATGGCCTCTTCCCGATCGTCCTCATACTCGTCGAAGACGGTCAAGCCGAGTGGACGGTAGGCATCTTGCAAGTCACGGAATGAAACAGTCTTTCTGGGATACCACGCTGCAAGTGCAGGTCCTCGCAGTCGCTGTCGTAGAACTTTATTGCCCAGTCGCAACCTCTGGGGATTAAAATTGAGTGAGAATATACGACATTGAGTCTTGAGATCATCAGCAGGGTAACGCAATAATAAGGCCATGGGTTAATTCGACAGCATACCTTGGCCAACTCAAGTATCCGGCTACATGAAGCTGCCATTTTTGCTGAGGAGCTCAGTTTCTGGTTCGGAAGTTCCAGTGCACGAAGAGTGAAAGACGGCGGTTTGCGACATGGGTCATGTGACTGATGTGTGATAGTAGGAGCCTACCAAGTGATAACAGAACACCACAAGTTAACATCCCAAATCTCGGTATTCCTAATGGTTTTGAAAAGGAAATCTGTTTTTGATCCACCTGTGGACGACGACGGCAGAAAGACCAAGACTCGTGCTGCCTCGAAGGCCCCGTTACAGGAAGCTGATCAATCTTCATTGGCCTGTCGCATTGGGAGAGATGCTCAAGAGGCGCCTTCTGATGGCGAACGCTCATTGACGCAGGATCAGCCTTCTCGCCTATGCCTTCTAAAAGCTTTGACTCAAGAGCTTGTCGACTCTGTTGATCTTCTAAGGGATCATGCTGGGCACGATGTTACGAATGCTATTATCGAGTTGGACAAGGCTTTCCGCCGTGCAAAGACTGCTCTGTCGCCCATCAGCCATCCAGACAATAACTCAGTCGAATTCGCCCGTACGCAAGAAAATGGGAATTCCTTCAGCCTACCTGAATTACCTCCTATTCTGGACAGTTCACTGGAATTGGCGGTCTTTACACATCCTGGCTTGAGCAAGGATTCGAAGTCGACTTACGATCGCCTTGAGATACTCGGAGATGCTTATATAGAGCTGATCGCTACGAGGTTCATTTGGAGCAGGTTTGAGGATATTTCTTCTGGTCAGATTTCGCAAATAAGGGAGCTACTGGTCAAGAATGAGACTTTGTCGGAATTTGCGACATTATACGGGCTCGACGGCAGAGCGTCGGTACCACAGGACTTGCTCAACCAGCCCAGGCGATGGACCAAGACTAAGGGTGACATCTTCGAGTCTTATGTGGCTGCGATCATTTTGTCTCGTCCGACTGATGGTTATCATGTTGCTGAACGATGGTTGACACAGCTATGGCTCCCAAGGCTCACAGATACTGTGATACCGCGGACTGCTTTGGATGCAAAGGAGACCCTTGCAAAGAGAATTATGGGTAAAGGAGTTAAGCTCAAATATGTTGATGAGCGTTCACCTGTACAGTCAAGAGGTGGGATGCAGACTTTCTATGTGGGTGTTTACCTTACTGGCTGGGGCTGGCAAAATAAGCATTTAGGCTCTGGTCATGGACCTAGTAAAGCAGTTGCAGGGGATGCAGCAGCACGGCAAGCCCTGTTGAATGAGCCTCTTATAAATAGTATCTCTCAGATAAAGAAAACTCATGAATTAACAAAAATATAAGCTGTAAATATAAATATCACTTTAAAGTATTATCAACTAGGCTATATCTCATCAGATTAATCCGCAATTTTATATGCACACATTGGTAGGGCATGATATTCATATGATGGGGGAGATGGTTGCTTTATTATTAACGTAACCCACGGCCGAGCCGTGAATACGACCGAACCGTGAATTTTTTATTGCCCCTGCTGCTCTCCTAAATCAACATTCTTCAACGCGTCATTTTTTTATTATCTCTATATAAAATGCCTTTATCTAAGGAAGCCTGTCTACAAATGGCAATTACTGCTTGGAAAGAGAAGAAAGTTAAATCAAAATTGAAAGCTGCCCAGATATATGGTGTACCTGAAACTACCCTTCGCGAACGGCTTGCTGGCATCAAACCATGATCAGAAACACGTGCTAACAGCCATAAATTAACTACTATTGAAGAAGAATCCCTTGTTAAGATACTGCTAGATGCAGATAAATGAGGCTTTTCAATTTGCCAGAGTTCCTGCGTGGAATGGCGCAGATTCTACTTCGCAAGTGCACACAGGACCCTACTGCAGTCCTTAGTATTAACTGGTCTTATTCCTTCACTAGAAGACGCCCTGAACTACGTACAAGATATAATCAGAGGATTACATACCAGTGTGCAAAGCAGGAGGATCCTAAGGTCATAAAATAGTGGTTTGAGACTGTCTGTGAAGTTATCCAGGAGCATGGCATACATAAAGATGATATCTGGAACTTTGATGAGACTGGCTTTGCAATGGGGTTCAGTACTACTTCAAAGGTTATTATATCAGTGGAACATAGTGAGAGACCTCGCAGAGTTATCCAGGGAAACTGCGAATGGGTTATAATCATTAAATGTGTGGGCTTAAAAGGGATCTCTATCCCACTAGCAGTTATCCTAAAAGGGAAGGAACACCCAGCTGCTTGGTATCAAGAACTTAATCTTCCTCCAGACTAGAGGCTTACCAATAGCACTAATGGCTGGATAATAGATGAGATTGGCCTTAAGTGGCTAAAGCACATATTCGACCCCTTTTTAAGATGATATTTAACTGGTGCAAAAAGGCTACTTATTCTGGATGGCCATTCAAGCCATCTATCTGCTGAATTTGATGATTTTTGCAAAGGGAATGCAATTATCTGTCTCTGTATGCCTGCGCATATATCTCATCTTCTCCAACCCCTAGATGTTGGGGTTTTTGGGCCTCTTAAGCGCGCATATGGGAAACTAGTTGAGGAGATGATGATGGCTGGAAACAACCATATTGATAAAGAGGATTTCTTATATCTATACCCTCCTGCACGTGAAGCAGTCTTTACTTAACAGAATATATGCAATGGCTTCGCAGGAGCTGGTCTTAATCCACTTGATATAGACTGGGTCCTTGCTAAGATTACCTTTTAACTCTGTACGCTAACACCACCTCTTATTGATATTGAAGGGTTAATATCTTCTGCTTTTCAGACACCCTAGAATGCTCGCTAGCTTGATAAAAAGGTCCGCAGTCTACAGAAAAGTCTTCAGAAGAAAAGGACACTTTCTAGCAGTCTGATATTATATATTTAGCATATTGAAAAGGCTGCGCAGATGGCAATGAATGCAAACCTTCTTCTATAACAAGAAATCAAGGTTCTACGGGCTGAGAATGAGCGGAAAATGAAGAAGAAGGCAAGGAAGCGTATTAATCTAGGGAATAACCTCTTTATATCTGTGCAGGAAGGTCGTGACCGTATTCAGCAGGTTGATGAGCAGGTTGATGAGCCTATACCTATATCTCGTTAGCGCGCTCTGCCAACCTGTAGTGGATGTTGGACTATTGGACATACTAGAAGAAGTTGCCCTAATAAATAGCCATATATTCAGCTAGTAGATAGTCTAATTAATGACGTTGGTGGTTGAAAAGCTTCAAAGATAGGATGATTTGCGGCAAAAATTCGCGGTTCGGTCATATTCGCGGCTCAGCCGTGGGTTACGTTACTATCACTATTATTAATAAGCATACATGCACATGATTAATTAGAAATATAATAATTCCCTAGAATAGAAAGAAAAAAAAGAGAAAAAAAGAAAAGCTATTAGTAGTATAGTAATACTAGAAACAGATAGGATAGATAAGCATATTATCTTAGATAGCTATTAATATTTCTATAATATATTTCTTTACTTTCTTTCTAATTACCTAGCTATTAATTAACTTAGAAGATAAGGTATTATATTCATTATCTTTAATATTAAAATACTATTTCTCTAGGTGTATAAGAGCCTTATGTCACACCCTGGGATCCATCTCTACTGTTCTCTGCTAGTCAACTACTTTAGGAATAGGGTAATATAGTCCCTAGACTATATCTAATACTTGCCTAAGGCCTACTGACTAGGTAGCCTAATAATATACTAACTAGGTATGTATTTAATATAAGGATATAATAATCCTACTAGGATTAAGGATAACTAAAGATAATATAAGAATAATAATAATAATAGAGATAGAAGTAAGGCCTATTAAGTATATATACTTAATAGTAAAAGAGTAACTAATAAATTAGACTAGTAAACTTATACTTAAGTAAGATATTATTATAAAATATAAAAAGCTAAAACTAAGTGTGCTAGATATATAATAATAAATATCTTATATAATTCCTTCTCTAACTACTATTATTACTACCATATTATAGTAGTTATAAGTAGTAGTTAGTTATATAATATAATAACTATATTTAGCATCCCTTAGATAATTATAAATTATCCTTTATAAGATCTTATTATTACTAGTAGTTAGCTATCATATAATTTAGTATAATTAGGTTATTTATATAGTAGTATATAACTTGTGAGAGCACTTATAGAATGCTCCCTATTATATGGTAGATAGTGTGGTAGTAGCAATGCCTTTGTAGTTGAACTAATTACTAAGATATGAGCATCTCCCACACCTTAGCAGAGATAATATCTCTATAGGTCATGTACTACCTATATAACCACCTGTAGTTTACTATATATATATTCTCTATATCTAATAGTTATCTCCCCTCTTTATATACTACATCCCTGCAGCTAGAGATTGATTATAATACCTCTTTTAATTATATAAACTATGTATTCTTATTAGTTAGACTAAATAGTAGATATTACTATTACTATATTACTTTTACTAGTATAGGCTAGTGATATTATTATTAACTAAAGTATTACTTATTTCTATGAATACTATTATATAGTGGTTTAATCTTATTATCCTACCTATAGTAAATATATTTAGATAGCTTTACTTATTATTTACTTAGCTTAGTATTATAGCTATAAATACTTCTAGATTTATAGATATATAGATATTTTCTTCTCCTTCTTCTCCCTCTCTAGTAATATTAAGTTTATTATCTATAAGTAATATTTCTTATTATTCTTTACTATGTACTTCTTTATTATTTATATAATTATCTTTATAATTATAAGATCTATATCTCCTTCTTTCTATAAGTATATGCAGTTGCTAGTTCTCTTATTATAAATTAATATAATTTACTTGTATTAGTGTGATTATATAGTTGCTTTAATAAAGTATATATAGCTCTTAGTATAGAGATAGCTTCTAGTTATTACTCAGAGGTTTCCTTTCTTATTATTTTATTATTTCTTAAGTAGGGGCGCGTCT